CTCGACACATAAAGTATCACTTAAACTCCTAATAAAATAAATATCTATTATCGAAGGTTATGCTGCATTTTGTGTTTTAATATTTTATATTTTGTGTATAACGCCGGTACGATAACAACTCTATGTGTAAACAGAATTACAAATAAAGCTTTTGTTTTGTTTGTGCGATCGTTGTATTTCAATTAACGGGCAATATCACGGTTATTAGTGAAGATATTGATATACGATAAAAATCAAGTTTAACGACAATATAACTAGTGTATAGCAGTGTTAAAAGTGTGTAAATACAACCACGTTTTACAGCTTTAATTTTTAATACATTGTAGAAACTTAAAACATTAATTTGAAGTGGGAATTATTTTATTATGACCTTGTTTTAATTTTCGAATATATAATACCATGACAGAAATATTTTTTGGAACAATACCTCACATTTATTTGTGTAAAAACAATAATGTACTAGTACAAATATACAGAATAATAATGATCTACAAGCCTAATATGTGTACTGCACGAGTCGGAATTGACATACGTGTCGTTACTGAATCATTGAGCGGAACATTTTCCAATGCGACAACTTGTCAAAAACAGGTATAGTTTTGCGTTTTAATCATGCATTCATACTTCAAGAGCAATTGTTTGACCGTTCACACGATCATTAATGAATTCGGGAAAACAAGTTCTACACGAATCTCAAAAAAAAATACAAACAATTATAATTTTACTTCCTAAGGATAAACTACTCCTTTTAATACATACAACGGTAATCCGTTTAGATAGCAACATAATTTAGAGCTTTATTGAAAAGGATTTTTAAACCATGTTCATTCCAAAATTCTGCAACACAAACTAGCTACTACAGTTATTATATTATCAAAACAATGTTTCCAAAAATAAGAATGAAATAAAAGACAGTTTCTTTTGAAATATAAAATTTATTTTTATCTTCAGTGAAATTTGAGGTGATGCAATCAGTGTTATGATGTTTTTTGATCACTGATATAAAGTTTGTTGTTCAGGTTATATATTTAAGATCATTTTAAGATGAAAACAATTTTATGGTTAAATTTTTATCGCGTCATTACTTATCAACTCGACATTTTGTGCTAAACCAGTTTACAAAGGCGTAATCGCTTTAGTCCTTAGTAAAAACTTTTTTAAGAGAAGTCACTTTTTTCAAATTTTTTGGAAAAAGGAAATTGTATCACACTATTCTCAATTTTGCTTCAGTCTCCATGCACAAATTTCAAGTATTTCTCACAGATTTTCTTTAACAGTGTCTGAAACATCACATTTTTCTTCCTAAGTAGTCAAATTGTGTGGCAACATATTTATTGACGCTGCTGAAAGGTAATTCAAGCTTTGTGTACTTCTAGTGCCAAAATATAATTTTGCAAAGTATACCTATAATATACAAGATATTAAGCGAAATTCATAATTCTTATTGTTATCTCTAGAGAGCGGAAAATATGCAGCAAAATTTTGGGAAATATGATCATACGATATGCATATGCTCAAAAAATTTAACAAAAGCGTAATAACCGAACTAAATTTATTTACAAATTACAAAAACAGGTTTCCTGAGCGTACGTTTTATTACAAAATATACATAAATCACATTTTTAAAGATAATATTCTTATACAAAAAAATAAATATACACAGAACAAATTAAAAAATAGTAGTAATCATTTAATTACTATTTTGGTAACAATTTATTTTTAAATATTTTTCGAAATACTCTAACAAAAAGTTTTTCCGGTGATTCTAAACCATGTATTTATAAATAAAATAACTGGGTACTACGTCCACAGATGTAAAAATACTTGGGTTTAGAGCAGGCGCAAAACACAGTGCCTTCTTGAAGAATAAGTTCAGGAAAAGGTTGAATCCATAAATTAATTTGGGTTATCTTCGACATATTGACACACCTGTATCGCTTTAAATGCTTTCAATGGAAACTCACTATGCAAAATAACAGGATAACGTCCCTTCGACTACCATAAAACATATTACACTAACCGGCAAAAAAAACGGCCACCCTGACAAATTTCGCAAAACCAAACATTAAAAATTATTAATTTAACTAGTAATCGTTATTTTATTAAAAAACCATTCACTATTGACAAATGATGTATTGTTTTATTTAAGAAAATATTGTACTTAATGGTCTGTTTTTGTTATTTTGTTAAATGTAATTTAATTATGCGTTTATATGTCTTCTTTTTTTGCGAATTTGTACAACATGTGTCGATACTGAATGGTTCTTTAATAAAATAACAATCACTAGTTAAATTAATAATTTTTGAAGAGGTTTTGGGAAAATTTTTCAGGGTGGCCGGTTTTTTTTGCCGGTCAGTGTATTAACACTTAAGTAACGAACAAAAATATTGGGAATGAACGGTATTTTCAAAAGTAATTAAGGTCCGAATTTACCTAGAGGTAACACCCAGTGGTTTCTCCAAACTACCATAAAACCCAAACCTTTCCTAGTTATTTGAAGCTCAGGACAATATTTGCAACATGATTCATGAAATTTCGTCTTTCTAGATAAATGCCGATGGATTGACAATCATTTTTTTTTTCAAATTAGCACAAAAATTGATAAAAATGCAAAATATGCACCCGTTACATGAAATATGCAGCAGAAGGCAAATATATGCAAATATGCATTTTTTTTATAACTGTATTCATTTTTAATTAGCATGACTCGTTCACTTATTGAATATCAAGACTTATATGCGAAAAATAATGGATATGCAAATTTCATAAAATCCGCTCTCAAATATATTAAAAAAAATTTCGCGTGTTATTTATTAGACAGAATTCACTTCTGAAGCACAATCAAACAAATAAATTTTTTTGAAAAAAATGGAAAATACCAATCACAGTGTAAAAAATTGGTCTAAGTTTGTTTAAACAGAAATTCTCTTGTCCATGAAGTACAGTTGGATAAACGCAGCCTTGAAAAATTATTAAATTTAAGAACATATGCGTATGTTTCTAGTGAGTTTTGATATGACGTCATCAACATTTTAGCAAGGACACTTATTACAGTTTTACTAGCTACAGTGTAATACTTATGATAACTATATTGTAAAATTGTCGAAAAAATAGAATGAACCGTTCTTGATTTCATCAGTAAAAAAAAGTTGCGGCATGGCATTGATCCGCGGACCTTTCATCTACCGTTAGACCACATCTGTGCTTATAAAGGTTTACACTATGTGAGTAACGAAAAAGATGTCTTAAACAATAAAAATATATAATAATAATAATAAACAAAATCTAGGTAGATTTATATGTCATTTTGTAAAATTTAAATTTGGTTTGCGTTTTACCACCTTCACAATAAAATTTGACGAGAATCGGTCCAGTAGTTTCGGAAATTATATATCTAATAAAAATCGACACATACGATAGACAGACAGACAAACAGACGAAAACAGGACACCTGAAACGTCGAAAAAACATGAAAATAGCCTCTAACCCCTTCGGCTTATCAGCATAATGCTCCAACGAACTGAGATAAGAGCGGTTACTGAACGTTCCTCTTATATTGTTATAGATGTTGTACAAGTTTGATTTTCTGGCAAAAATCTGGTTGTCCTGGAGTAAACAATGAAAACAGATTCATAAGCCGCAAGTACGGGAATATGTTATTTTATAAAATTTAATTAGTCTTTACCACACAAAATTTTGAGGTGACGTAATCAAATTGTTGGCGAGAATGTCCACACAAATTTTGGTTAAGCGTTGTAGCATGTACACGATATTCATAAAATATCTATACATAAGAATCAATCCTGAAGTGTCGACAATTATCTGTCTCATAAAAATCGACACAAATGACAGTCGGCAGACAGACGAGAGACAGACGGAAACAGGAAACCTATTTTTTCATACTGTAACGATCATGAAATGTCGAGCAAACATGAAAGTAACCATTCACAGGGTGGATCCTATTATAATACTTTCTTAACTTACGACCTACACTATATTCAACGTTTTCCTAAGTGGACACGCTGTATGATATTGAAAATATTGCTAGATTCATTTTAAGTGATATCCTGATCACCCATGAAAGTTGCAAATGCAGTTATATCTAAACAAGAAAAAACGTATTTTCAAATAATCACTGTGACCCAGAATCTAGATTTTTTTCTCTACGATAAATGTAAAAATTTGCAACCACACTTTACTTCTCAACAGTGTCATTGCTATGTGCAAAATCATAATAATAATAGATTTTTTTATTAATTTGACCTGAACTGAACTAAAAAATTTTTCACGTGTAGCAGCACGTTGTGTTAGTTTGGAAACAAAATACTAGAACTGCATTTACCAATAATAATAAACAAGTTGTAGGTGGCAGCTTTGAGGAGATTAATTTCCTGTATGCAATCGAACTTGACCTGGACTTCTGCCAGCTCGTTATTCAGTCTAGTTTCCTTCGCATTCCACTATCCTTAACTGTATTTTAATATCGCCTGCAAAACAAGATTTTACAGAATAAGGGTGTGTTATGAACCTGATAAACATCTGTTTTTTTGTTCGCGACGTGTCAGCCTTTGTAGCACATTTTACCGCATTTTAAGTAATCGAATCGCTCGCAATTTCTTTATTCGAAGCTACACCGGTGTGCTGATACCAGTTTTTGGGTGCTCACGTCACAAAATTCCCGCACCCGGTGCACGACCCCATTAATTTTTTTCTCTTATTATTCCCGATTACATCAATTCATCATCTCCCCAAATAACTTCCCACAAAACAAATTTCATCAAGTCGCCCACATCTCATCGCATAATAATTGAAACAACCTTATCATCCGCCAATCAACGCACCGAATCGCTCCGAAAATTAGAATTTATTTATAGACCCTGCTCCCTAAAACCGACTTTTAATTCGTAAACTTTTTCCTCCATTTCAATTTCGCCCTGTCACAATTCCATATTCAAACCCCGGCAATTAATCATCCCGATTTAGCATTTTTTGCACTCACCTGTCGTTAGCAAGTATCCATTTTTGCACTGCACGAACGTGTGGGAATGGCGGCACTTGGAGCACGTGTTCTTTTCAGAATTTTTCTAAGGAAAATGAATATGTCGCAAACTGTCTTGCACGTTTCTTGTATAGCACTAAGGAGACGTCGCGTTGGATGCACCTAGAGGTGTACAGGCATGGACTGTTGACTTGGAGAATTCAGGTCATGAGGTCACTCGTCCGCGACGGTGTTGCCCATGAGGTTGCGATGGACGGAATCGCCGATGCTATGGTATCGAGGAAGCCAAGAAATGGGTTTTTTCCGGGGATTCAAGGACATATTTGAGATTTGGAGATTGTGCTTTCTTGTATTGTTGGAAAGTGTGAATGGATGAGCGGACTGGTTTGGGAGCGGTTGTTGCTGGGGAAATCACTCAAAATTTTTGAGTTGATTGCACCAATAAAAATCTTCGGCTTCGTGCTGTCGCTGTATTACACAATAACAAAATTTTCGTTAACAATATTAAAGTAGGTCTTTTCAATACTGAGTGGCAAATCATTTGCAAATATTTATTTTTTAAATTTTTCATTGCGTCCGGATCTGGTTGAAGCGTGACGTCATTCAGTGAGCTGAATGTGTACTCTGGCAGAGCTGAAAATTTTATAAACAAATAAACCTTTTGTGTAACAATAAAGGCACTAATATTGTTCAAAATTCAAGGTACCCAAACAAGTCTGATATTTGTATTCAGTCCGTATTAATTTTAATTAGACACTTCGGATACCCTTTCCAATTCCTACAATTCTTTCTCAGTTTCTATAATTATTTGCAACTCCATTATCTCAAATCGCTACGCTGATTTTTATAACATAATTACATCCACTTCAACCAATTTCGACAAATTCAAGAACTTTCCCGGCACCTTCATTATAAAATAATAACTTTTTTACTCATCCTCTTTCTTCTTCTTCCTGTCGCTGTCCATCTAATTATCCAACTCTGCAAAGTTATTTTATCTTGCGCAACAATAAATTGCATTGAATGGGTCATTACTCATTAACGACCTCATGGTATATTGTTCGTGTCGCTCGTGTCCTTAATACAGTTCACAGCATCTTCCGAAACACATCCGAAAAAAGCAAAAAATATACACATTATCACTCCAAATCTTTGTTCTCATGTAACTTTCATTCACAAGCAGCCCACATTTCTAATTAGAGAGATTCCGTGTTTACGATGCATTAATTTGCATTGAATTGCGTGGAAGCGACACAATGGGTGTGGAGGGTCAAATACGTACGCCCTAAAGGGATATGTGACAAAGGCGGTTTGAAAGCTTTGAAAAATATATAATGTGCGGAAAGTGTAAGGGTTTTTTGTGCTAAATGGACTCTTTAAAGGTTTTAATTGGCCAGAAATAGATCAACAAATCGATGTGTATTTACTAATTTGGACCACCTGAATATAAATCTGAGTTCAGAACAGACCTAGGAAGCTTCCTGATTTTTTTTTAATTTGTTGCAACTAAAAAACTCCATTTGGTGTGTCATCATTATCAATTATTATCAATAACTTGTTGCCTTAGCGGTTAAGACCCTTAGGCATTACACAATTTTTTTTATAATTTTCCTTTTCTTCGTCTATTTCATATTTGGTATATCGCTCCTACGTGACATGGTTGATCTGCTCAAAGAGAGAAAGTTTCCAAGGTTGCGGTGATATTCGTCACTACATCTGAGAAACAGAACAGGTCAATAAAAAATAGCCACAAATTAAACTTTGTAGTCCGAATAACGGAACACGAACATACTTAAATTGAGCGGCGTCTGATGCACATTTGTTGAATTTAGGTGTATGGAAACTGGTTTCGAATTCCCGTCTTGGAAATTTTAGTAATAATTATCTTTATTATTTGTGGACGATCCTCCTCGGAAAACTTCCACGCGTTCGTTAGGTAACACTGATGAATTAGAAAATAAATATAGAATTTTATTATTAGACGTTATCGTAAATGTTAATTGTTCTTTCCGACATACTATAGAAAAAGTTATTTATTTACCTCTGTGACAAATAGCTTTTATCCTGCGACTACGCAATTATAAAAATTAACTTTTGATGCCCACTCAAAAAAGGTTTTAGTTATTATTCTAAGTATATTTTTTCATTGTGGGTGTTGTTTGAGTTAATTCATTAACTAAAATTGTTCATTATGTATTTACACTGTCTCATATTTCATATACGACTGTGCGATAAATTAATTTCTTTCATTCATGTGGTTCTCTCTCTCTCACTCCAAACGAAGTAGAACAGACATTTCAAAACTAGCTTACTGAGGGCAGTCGTTTCAAGCACCCACAATAATAATACTGTCCACGTTTCCCTAATTACATCTGTTTTCCCTACCTTGAAGAAGTTGTTTGCGCGACTTTTGATTTACGCTTTTGATTCCTCTACCGTGAAACAAAAATTAAAAGTTATCTCTTCCGGCCAACTCCCGGAGCACAAAAGTTTTATTAATGGCAACATCCCAAATAACTATGACGCAGCTTTCATTTATTTATCACAGACAGGACCAAAACCCCTGCAGGGTATCCGTTGTCTTATTTCTACCCGTTTTCTCAGCAACAAGTTTCACACCCCTTTCGGCTAAACCTTCGTCCTTAATCCTCCCACTGGCAGACAGGAGTCATCCAAAATTAATCCTCCATCACCCGTCGAGATTAAGAGTCGATCATCGGTCACGTTTTCAAATTCGGTGAAAGCACGCCTTCGCCACAGGAAATAATTAATTTCCTCTCCCCAACCCACCATCCGCAATATCCTGCACGAACACGTTCTCACGTTGCAGCTTCCTTTCATTTAACCATTATCCTTGCATGTGTCTATTTCTTGGATCCTCTCCAGGACGGTAGACGCGAAGATCGAAAACAACATAAATCGTGCAAATAAATTGAAATTTATGATTTGCTTCAGCGACCATAATTAAGATTAAACGGAATCGCTGAAGAGGGAGGATTTTATTCTACGGCGTTTCATGTTTTATTACGGTTTAATAGCTGGTTATTGTGTATTTTGTGTGTGCTGTAAAGCAATTTAAAAAACGATTTTGAAGAGGAAAGGGAGGCTTATTCGGATCTTTTAACACCCACACGGGGAGGAGAAGGAGATCTAAGGAAAAGCAGAAAGATAGCTCGAGGGGTCGGCACGGAAACAACAAGCAATAATTGTTGCGGTCGCTCGAAATTAACGTCAAAAAATTATTTTTACTAAAAATATTTCTGTGGAAGAAACGTGCTTATAAATAAAACATAAAGTTACTCATTTCAACAGCTCGTTAAACGTTTCTGGTTCGTAATTGCTTCATTATTAACTTTTTTGTAATAATTGTTGCTCTTATAGCTATTAAAATGTAGGTATTTGTTAGTTTTCTTAATTCGTAGCATGTAGAAAACATCGTAAAGTTGCTTTATTTTGTTCGTTGTATTTATTCTAGAAGTAAAATTAATAGACAAGTAAATAAAGCTTCAGTCTAGTGGCAAGCTTTAAAACAAGAGAGCTTTTCATGCTAACTTTCTGTACATATTTACAAGCGGCTTACTTCACTTTAAAGCTAACTTCAAAATTATGATACGTGGCTATTAACTTCACGATCGCTCTAAATTTTAACTGAACAACTATAAAACTAGCTATAAAATCCAGTGTAACCTCTTTATCTGGCATTATACCATTAATTTCAGGAATTTAAGCATAAGCTTCGCGTTCAAAAAGTTTTAATCTCCTCACATACGGTTAATCTCTTTTGATCCAGTTTGCCCGTATTACAATCATCACATGTAAAACTAAAAGGACCTTTATGTGTTAAAATGTTCTAACTAGGGAACAAAATAATTAAAATGATATAAATGTAGGTTATTCGCTCACTCATTATTTTTTACTTCCTGGGCGTAAACTAAGGAAGTATTGTAATTGAGTTCATTGCCGTTAGAGTACAAAAAAAAGGTCTGCCGTTTCCATCTATTCGAATTTTTATGTGACAGATAATCTTCGAAACTACTGGATTGATTGTTGTCATATTTTATATGTGGTATTAGGAATATCGTATAGATGGTAAAACGCTAACCAAAATTTGGATGAACATCCCCACCAACAATAGAATGATGTCATCTCTAAAATTTACATTAGTGTTTAATACTCTGAAATCTTGCAAACCTTTTAAGATTATCGTAATTTTGGCAAAATTGTTAATCCAAATTTATGCGGTTATTCCCTTCAAGAAAAAAGCCGAATAAATCCTCTCTGAAATTTGCCAAATATTTTACTATATGTTTAACTGTGGTTTTCCAACGCACTCATTGATTTTAGAATTCCTTAGGTACAGGATAACTCAAACAAAAATAATAAATGAAGCATTTTACTGTATTGATCAAAAACGACTCATTTCGTTGTCCCAAAAATTTAGGAATACAGTACAGTTATTATTAGTATTATACTGCATCTACGTTGATATAAGTGTCATTTAAAAAATGTTAATGACGTCATCATAAAATTTTGTAATGGAAACTCACTTGAAACAACGCGTGCCATGCTTCTTTACATTTACTTTAATATTACACTCTTTATTTTAACTTATAAGATTTTCTCTGAATTTATTTACCTTCAACCCATTTTTGGACATCACAACTTTTCGTTTTACCCTTTTCTTCGATTTTATCATTTTTTGATATCGCAATTTTTCGTTTCTTCACTTTTCAATTTTGCATTTTTTGCATTTTTTTAATTTACAATTTGTTGATATTACAATTATTATTCATTTTATTTCCTCAATTTTATATAACAGTTTTTAGTTTTTTCATTTCCTTTATTTTTTCAAGTTTTCTTTCGATTTTTTAATTTTCCGCTTATTCCATTTTTCAAAATTTCAATCTTTGATTTTCAAATTTTTATCTATATTTTTCAATTTTCCGATTTTTTTTAATTTTCAATATTTCGATTTTACAATATTTCATTTTTTTCTACTTCACATTTTTCTGATTTTGAAGTTTCTCAGTTTTTAATTTTTCGATTTTTCAAATTTACGTTTCTTTAGTTTTGAAGTTCTTGATTTCCAGTTTTTAGATTTTTCAAAGTTTTCATTCTATATTTTTTCGTTATTTCGTTTTTGATATTTCAATTTTACTGTGTTGCAATTTTTCATTTTTTTTTATTCGAAAAGTTGAAAAATCAAATATTTGAAATATCGGAAACTTGAAAACTCGGAAAAA